CTTACAGCACCTGTTATTCTCAAGCAGTTACCCAACTAGGTACTGAGCAGGTTCGACTTTGCTTAACTTCGGTGATCGTACGGGGACCTGTATTTCAACATAATGTGGCCATAAGCCTAATTAATAGGATTTGTATCAGTAAATCATTATCATCTCCAATTTCACAGTCTAAAATATATTTTCTGGCTTTAAATAACCTGCAAAATGTTGATAAACCGTAAAATCCAAATCAATCAATCAATCCTGAGTAGATGAGCCATTCCACACTGCGCTTCAGTTATTATATGTATTAAAGTATTTTCAAAGCGTCACATTTTTTCAGTTTCACTCGTTATATTCATTTATTTTGTATTATTCTTTAATAAATATGTTCAAATTAAAAAAAAAAATCTATGAAAAAAATCAATGTTAGCATCGAGTTATCGGCTTAAGACAGAATTATTCTGAAATAAAACGGAAAGAAAATTACTGAAGGGTTGTCAAGAGTCTACAATGCTTTATGACAGCATGTGTATGAAAGGTCTATGACATTGTCAAAAATATTATGCACCTTGGCTGGAATCCACCTTAGATTTTGAGAGCCTAGGTTTCAGCCTGCTAAATTCGGCACTGCTGATATATCTTCCAGTCATGTCTATGTTTATAGTCCTTTGGTTTCAAGTTGGGAAAATCAGACACTGAGTGGTCAGTTCTCAATATGTTGTTTGCTTAATCTACATATTGGGTATGAACCATTTGTTATTATTATTGCCTGGAAATTCCTGGTGAATAGGCTAAATGGTTCTGTGCGGTCATTATAAAAGCCTGCCTCATTCACCAGCCAGTTCTCCGTCACTGCTGAGGGCATATTGACTAAGTAATTTTTTTCCAGGCGGTTTTCAATCTCTGTCTATATTTCTGAGATGAGGTATTGTAACTATTTGCACTATTTACATTGTTCGGACTGTTGTCCTCATCTTTATTGTCATATTCACGTCGTTTCGTCCGTTGTATGCTGTGGCCTTCTTCAGGTGATATACGTTGTAATTTCAAACCGAACACGTTATATCGTCTATTAAAACATAACCTCAGTCGACAATTTGTATGATTGTAACCTTCTTCAACTTCCAAAGGCTTGGGTCATATTTTATTATTTCCTCTCTTCCTTTTGCTCTATTTTTGTATCAAAATGGCACTAATATCCTGATCTTGAGCTTCAATTATAATGCTTTCTGTTTCCTTTTAAAAAAACAATTTTCAACCAATTTCATGTTACGTTACCTTCGATCCCTTCTGTTGCTTTCTCAAATTTTCCTTGCAATTCTTTCTTTTCTCTTGCGACATTATGCTCTTCAAGAATTCCTTTTGAATCTACTTCACTCGTTCCGCGTTTCAAAACTTGTTCCGTTATTTATTATTATTATTATTATTATTATTATTGTTGTTGTTGTTGTTGTTACTAGCCGAATTACCCGCGCCTTGCTACGTGTCACACATTTCTTTTTTTTTTTAATTTTTGTTAAGAAAATGATGATTGATTTTAAATCATTGTTATAATTTGTGGAGAAAAATGATGCATTTTAATATTACTCAATGATCTGACCTCCATCTTTTGGATTTCTCCTCCTATATTTTTCACAGGAGTCATTCCCTTGGTCAAATTTAAATTTAATTTAAATAAAAAGGAAAAACAAATCAGTAGGGGTTTGTGCAAAAACAGCTTGATATGACCCCTTTGATATGTATTTGATGCAATACTTCATTGAATGAATTGATAAGCATATTTCAACATTGATATGACAGTTGAATTGTCGCAACAAATATGCATTGTAAGGCACTACCCACTGTTTGGTCATTTCTTGCTCAACTTGACGTCCATATCGACTCATTTTGATCTTGCCGGTGTGACCTCCATCTTATGGTTTTCTCCTTCTATATTTTGGATAGGAGGCATTCCCTTGTTTAAATTTAATTTAAATCAAAATATTTCAGTGGAGTGGTTTGTGTGTGTGTGTGTCCAAATCCCGGGCAGCCTCTTGATCAAAATGAAATATACTTATCCAAGTACCATGAGTAATTTAGTTTCAGAATATATATAGTTATGGAGGTCTATCTCCAAAACCCTAGGAGTTCGGTAACAGACAGACAGAGGCAACAACTTTATATAGAGAGATTAATAATTTTCATACATTTCTTCACGCTTGATGTCTTGTCTCTCGCTTGACAGCAAGCCACATCAAATTTCCAGTACCTTCCTCGATATCCTAGCAAGCTTACCAATACCGTAGTCATAACGTCTACTCTTTCTTCCCTTATTTCTGCCACTGATCCAAATATGCTATTTATCACGGGTGGTGTCAAATCCCATCCTTTATGCGTCAGTTTTCTGAGTTAACTGATGAGGTAATTTTGTTAATCAAATGTTTCCTTTTCTTTCATCATCATCCAGTGATCCACTGACACAACAGGTTCTATTTCCCTTGCTTATAGCGATCAAATCCAGTTTTCCCGCTTGCATATGGTGGTCAGCCTGAATCTCAAACCCACTGGCCACCTCATTCTTTTTTGTTTCCTACTACATCCACTGCTTTGTGCTGCTTATTGAAACACAGTCATTTGCAAAATTCCCAACGTATTCCTGTCTTTTATGCTCTTATATTTATTTTAAGCTAGTTTATAGTCGTTCTGTACAGAAACAACATTTGCTTGTTTTAATTGGTGTGTTTATTCTATGCTGCGGGATAAGATACTATGTTTCTCCTTTCAGGTGTCCTCTTTATAACCATGCCAATGATTTTTTTTTGTTTTTTATAGTTTTCTTTGCATGTGGAGATTTTTTTTCTTTCCCAGGGGCGTTTTTCACTGTTTATATGTTTTTTTTGTTTGTTTGTTTGTTTTTTGTTTTTTTTTTTGTTTTTTTTTGGGGGGGGGCTATTTCGTGTAATTTTCTTTTTATTATTATTATTATTATTATTAGGGAATTCATAACAAATTAGTGGGGCTAAATTCTACCCGACGATGTCTGTAGTTCATGCCATAATAATCATGTTAGTGAGTGAGCCGGGCGGATATCTTTAGCAAAACAGATGTTAGTGATTTGACTTTGAATGGACAGAAATATAGGTAGCATGTGTGTAGATGCGTCCGCTTGTGTGTTAAATGCTGATTGGAGAGGGGGGGCGTCTTTATGCGGCTGCGAATTTATCTGCAAGCAAACATAATTAATCTGAAATGATTAGAAATTGACGTCGACAAGAGTGCCTCAGTATCCCCAACATTTGACAAAGAGTCATCATCATTTTAAAGACGGAAGTATAAAACATCGGAACTCATTCTGGGAGGGAACCGAACCAAGTCAGTGGGTGCGTCTCTGTGGTGCTAAATCAGCCGGCGGTCAAGTAGCAAGAAACGATTCATGTGTTTTAGGGGTGGGGCCGTAATTGTTTTGGTTTGTGTGCATGTGTTTGTCTTGTATATATATGTGTTTATGTGCCTTTATGTTTGTTTTGTTTTTGCGTGCGTTTCTGTGTGCGTCTGTTTGTGTGCCTAGAGACCCGCAAAAAAGAAACGAGGTTTCTAAAAGTAGAATTTCCAACATAGTTATTCTACGAATTATACAGACAAGTGTCTATTATCTTTGTTAATACCATAGCCTGCTGATGTGTCATTAACATGAAACCCATGAATTTGTTAGTCTTATTTTCGAAAATGAAATATTTTCATAATTCGGAGAAGCATCTTCCTTTTTGTCACATTTCTGTAAACTTTTTATTGAGGAAATAAAAAAAGCCCACTAAATATTTTTTAAAAATGTTCCAACGTTTGAGCAATAAAACTACAGAAGATCAAAAGGTCAACGATTCGTGGTTTCAGGTCAAGATGAATGAAGAAAACATGAAGATGCCTGAAGAGACAGACTTGTTTTATCAGTTTAAAGGTTGCATATTTCGTAATGGTACTGTTCATCAGTGTTCAAGCCAGAGTAAAAGCTCCGGTTTCTTCTAAATTCTACTTCAACTCTATACTTCTAACGTCTCCATCTAAACTCAGAAATTTTTACTATTTCTTTATTTATTTTTCCACAATAGGATTAAGTTCACCATCATCCGGTTCACACTCCTGGCCAGTCTTTTGAACAGGAGTAGATGTTTATCCCTTGTTTCCCGTTTAAAATTGGGTTTCCGGTTCCTTCTAAATTTTACTTTAACTCTATACTTCTAACGTCTCCGCTTAAACTCTGAAATTTATACTAATATTGTATTCCCGATTCCTTCTAAAATCTTTTTCTTCTCTTCCACTTCCAGTAGCCCTTGCGTCTTAGTAGCTGTATCGCCTTGCTTCGGGTGAATTGATTTTAAAAAAATAGAAAAATAAACCAAGGGAAGGCAGAAGAATGTATCGGCTGAAATGTATTAAAAATAACAATTATAAAGATACTAGTCCCAAAAAAAAAAAAAATGTGGAACTGAGATCAAAAGTGACCAGATTTGGACCCAGGATCTTACATATAAAAGCAAGTTCCTGTCGGGTTTTTTTGTTTTGTTTTTTTTTACTTTTTTTTTTACTTTTCGTCTGTTTTCAATGACGATTGTTCAGCCTATTCTCTACGTGCTGAAAAACTCAAGGGAAATCATTCTGCTGCTGTTGATCTCAGACTGGCGCAAAGCAAAAATCACTACAAAATCCATAAAATCAACATATTTTTATGAATTCAACAAAACCGAACATCATCACTCTAAACTGTGTTTAAAAAAAAGGGGCAAATTTTTCTGCGCATAAATATTCAAAAGTTAGTAAAACCGAATTTTTATTTTAGAGTTTTCGAAGTTCCAAAGATAAAAAAATTAGCCGGTTAAACACCGAAACCAGAACTCGTACATATGATCAACACCGGGAACTTCACTATTGTGGTCTTATACTAAAGTAAGCTTAGTAAATATTGATTTCAATTGTTAAAATTATTCAAATATCACAGAATATTAATCCCCTAAAATATATAATTGATGTTGGATGTATTTTCGCCGATGGTAATAATGTCCTGAGTATGACGATAAACTACATCCAGCAGCAAGATCGAGAAATTGGAGGTTTTGAGGAGCGTGAAACCACCTCTTAAACGCTGCTGTGACCCAG